AGGCAAATTAACAGGGTGGATGTGGAAAGGATGTTTCACCTTATAAGAGAATCTAAAATGAGGGATCACTGTTTTTAAATAAGCGGTTGCCCATTTAAAACAGAGATGAGGCAAAAAATACTCTCTCATGGAGGGGCACAGATCATTGGAACTCTCTTCCAGAAAAAGGCAATGCAATCAGATTCACAAAGCATTGGTAGATAGTTCTTTGATAAGCAAGTGTTGAAAAATTATCAGAGGTAGTCGGGGATGTGGATTTGGGATTACAATCAGATCTGCCATGATCTTATTGAATATTCGACCAGGCTTAAAGGACCAAACTCCTGCCCTCATTCTTATGTTTGTATTGCCTGTTCTCTGGTTGTCTCTAAAGTTGCTGTTCTAAGTAACTACCCCACAAACATCTGTCAGCTTCATATTTACATTACCTTAGTGCATCTGATTTTTCAAGTCCATATAATTTGAAATCCCCCATGATTTAGATTAATGACTTCATATTAATTTGTCTCAACACAAAGTATTGGAATTCCCTCTAAAAAATTCTGTGAACCACTTCTCCTTAACGCTTTTAAATATTCCTTGAAACTCTTTTTTAAAGGTCTTATCCATTCAGCTCTTACACAATTATATACTTTATTACATTTGTGGGAAATAACTTGCCATGTTTCTCATGCTCAAGGCACTATGTAAACGTTGCTATAAAACAAAGAAATGCAGATGCTCAAAATATGAAAAAAAAAGAGAAATTGCTGGATAAACTCAGCAGATCTGGCAGCGTCTGTGGAGAGAAATCAGAATTAACATTTCAACTCTAGTGACCCTTCTTCGGAACATGTAAATGTGGTTCCTGTTGCAAATGCATGTTGGTTACTTCAACTGCCCAGAATGCTGCTTTCAAAATTATGGTTTTATAGTGCAAGGATTAAGCCATAGAGTCATAAAGCACAGAAATAGGCCTTTCAGCCCACCATGTCTATTCCAATCAAGTCAAGTTACAAACAAAAATAATGTAGGTAAAGAAAAACTTGATGGAATGCACTTAAATACAACTTCTATTCTTTGATTATGGCAGTTGCATGAAATTGCAGGTAATAGGATTCCAGGTGCAGGGCTACGAAGGTTTTAGGGAACAAAACTGAACAGGAAGTACATGTTTCAGTTGGGGTGCATTTCAATGATTGTGACCATAACTTGGTAAGATTTGAGGTAGTTATGGAGAAAACTAAAATGGGATTGGATTGAGAAAAGGCCAGTTTCAATACAATATGACAGGTTCGGAAAAAAGTGGACTGTGAGAAACTACTTGTGGAAAAATCTACATCAGAGCAGTGGGAGTCATTTGAAAAGAAAATGGTGAGAGTGCAGGACCAATGTGTTCCTGTGAAGGTAAAGGGGGATCAAACAAGATCAGGTTTTTGGTTATCAAGGAACACACATGATTAGAAAACAAAGAAAAGAGAAGCTTACAGCAGACACCAAGGTTTAAAAAGAGGAGAAATCCTAGAAAAAAAGTGCAGAAGGTTATTTAAGAAAGAAATTAGCAGAGCAACGTGGGCCATAAAAGAAAACACTGGCAATTAAAATGAAGTATTATTCAAAGTATCATTTTCTAAATATATTAGGAACAAAAGAATAGCCAGGGAAGAATAGAGGCCATTAGAAACTAAAGTGGCCACGTGTGCATAGAGTCGGAAGATATAAGTATGGTTTTAAATTATGACTTTGTATTCACTATCAAGAAACACGATGGAAATTACACAATCACAAAAGTTTTATGGCATAGGAGGCGGCAATTTAGCCCATTATGTCTACACCATGTTTCAGTTGAGCATCATTACCTACTACAAATCTCTTGCTTTTTCCCTGTATCCTCACACATTACCTCCACTTACCCACACCATTCAGCCCGCTCATGATTTTGATCTCCTTTTAGCCTACTCCTCTCCAAAGAGGACAGCCCTAATTCGACTTTTCTTCGTAACTGAGGTTACTCATCCCTTCAACTGCTCTCGTAAATTGCTTCTGCACTCTCTCCAGTATGTTTACCTCCTTCGGATAACATGCTGCTCACAGCTGCTATGTACGTCAAGATGCTACATCCAACCCCTTCTTGAAATTATCCAATGTTGTGGCCTCAATGTAATCTGCCTGAACTTCAAGAAGACTTTAGATAAAGTATTGCATGGGTGACTGCTCAAGAAAGTAAAAGCCTTTCGGATCCCATGCAATTTGATCTAACAGATTAAGGGAGTATATAATGAATGGTAGGAAGTTGGGTAGTTGAGGATCAGTGGGACCTTGGTGTGCATGAACATAGATTCTTGAAGGCAGCAGGACCAGTGAATAGGGTGGTTAAGAAGGCATCTGAGATAATTGCCTTTAATAGTCAAGGCATGGAATACAAGAGCTGGGAAGTTATGGAAGAGCTGTATAGGATATTGGTTAGGCTACAGCTGGTGTACTGTTCTAGTGACCACACTATAAGAAGGATGTGAGTGCACTGGAGAGGGTGCAGAATGCTGCCTGGGCTGGAGCATTTCAGCTTTGAAGAAAGACTACATAGGCTGGGGTTGTTTTCCATGCAACAGAGCAGTTGGAGGCGGACTTGATTAAGGTCGACACAATTATGACGGACATGGACAGGGTCAATCGGAAGAAACGTTTCCACTTAGTTGAGGAGGCAATTACCAAGAATTTACCAATAGATTAAAGTTAAGGGGCAGCAGGTTTGGAGAAAATTTAAGGAGAAATTAGTGGTGGCTATCTGGAATTCACTGCGTGAAATAGTTATAGAGGTCAGAACTGTCATATCATCTGCAGAATATTTAGACAAACATTTGAAATACCACAGCAGACAAGGCTAAGAGCCAGATGCCGGGAAATGGGATTAGAGTAGATAGGTGCTTGATGACTGGCATGGACACGATGAACCAAAAAGTCTCTTTCTGTGTTGTAATATTCTATCACTGTAAAATGTAAGATCAGAATAAACAAGTTGAAGAACAGAGCTTGGAACCTATAAAGTAAGTGTTAAAAAAGGCCAAATGGGCTTCAGGGAAATTCCAGCAGGATATATTCTGCAGCAGTGAGTAATATACTCTAACATGTTATTATCCTTCAAGAAGAAAACAAAAGCTTCTTTGCTTACTAAATTCAAAATCAATCAGGTTAAAGTATCTGCAAGATGTATAATATCTGTAAGATTTAGAGCAATACTTAACTTCCTCAGCCAGTCTTGAGAATTTATTTATTTTCTTTAAAGCAAAAATGGCAATTAATTGCATATATCTTGCAATAAAAAATAAAATTAGAAAAGAAATAATACTGGAGAAGTTAGTGGGACTAAGATCCAATAAATAACTTGGACCTGAAGGTTGAAATTCTACAGTTTTATAAAGGAAAAGCTACAAAGATAATGGATGCATTAGTTTTGGCCTTCCAGCATTCCCTAGGTAATAAAACAGCTTCCATGGATTAGAATGTTGCAAATGTAACCCCAATGTTCAAGAGAGGGGAGAAAGAAAACAGGGAAATTAAAGGACAGTTAACGTGACTTCAGTAGTAGTGGAAATATTGAAACCTATCATTAAGAACACGATAACAAAGCATCTGCAATGCTATAATACCATTAGGCAGAGACAACTTGGTTTTAGAAAACTAAAGACGAATCTGCTAGAGATCTTCGAGGATGTTATCGGCCACACAATGGAGGTAGTACATTTGGATTTTCAAACAGCATTTAATAACATGACACAAAATAGGTAATTAAACAGGCTATGGTTTCAGTGACTGGGAAAATATGTGAGCAGGATTGAAAATTGGTAAACAGAACAAAGCAGAATACCAAAATGGTGCAGTTTTGGGCTCGCAGAGTTTAACAAAGGTAGTGTTCTGATTGTAATGCATCCAATTTTGCTGAAGACACTAAGCTCGGTAAGAAAGTAAGCTCTGAGGTCATTGCAAAATGGTTGCAAAGTGATATTGACCGGTTGTATGAGTGAGCAAGACGATAGTGATCAAGTTAAGAAATGTGAAATTATCCATTTTGCTAATGTTGTGACCAGATGAAGAGGGCAAAATGGCTCCCTTTTTTTCAATCTCCTCAGTGGGCCAAAACATTTATGTGCTTATAAGCATGGTTCTATATCTCTTGAATGAAAATTTAGCAACCCAATACCTACCATATTGATTAGGAATAGTTTAGAGTCCTTAGGAGGTCACAGGTGATTCAATTGATGTCTTGCATCCTCAGCAGCAGCAGATATTTGTTATCTTTTAAGTTCTCCGCATTATGATGTTTCTCTTTAATCCATTCTATAACCAGACACTTTTCCTTCTTAAGAAGCCAAAAGAGAGCTTGAGCTACTTCTGCAGTCACATAGAAATTTCACCGCTCTGCCAAAAGTAGTTCATTAAAATCCAAGCTAGTTTTGGTTTTTCTATGCCTGAGTTTATTGTTTGCAAGTCTAATAATTGCAGCTGCTGTCTTTCATCACCAAACTGTGAAACTCATCATATAGATGCAAATTTAAAAAAAAGAGACAAACTTCCCTGGGTAAACTAGTTCAGTGCCTCTTTATAAAATGTTAACTTCAGTTTAGACAATTTATTTATTATGCATTAGTTTCATGAAACTTGACTGATCTGTCTCATCAGATGATAGCTGTGGCCATTTTAAGTCAATGTTCAGTCCCTTTTGTCAAAATTATGTCAGGCCACGAAAGTCCCAGGTGTTGAAATCAAATGACAGAATTCAAAAATCACCTTTTTTCACTATCATGACCGGTCAGAAGAATGAAATGAACAATTCGTGATGGCCAGAAAAAAATGTAAATACATTATTTTGACTTACACAGTTTTGTTAATACTAATTAATGATCAATGTGATTTACGTTAATTGTACGCACCTGAATAAGAAATTTATTGTAAGACTGCAAGTTCTGGACATTTAAGACATTCCAAAAGTGTCTGATTCATACACGTAAAGATGTCTTCATTACCTGATAGGATTGCTAGTCAAAGATACACGGAGGGATTCCAGAAAACTGCAAAGTCTTTCATCTGCAACACCAGATTTTAATTCATGGATGAATTCATGGGGTAAGGTTGCAGCGTATTGTCTGTTCTTCAAACAGCCCTGAAAAGTAACAAAAATCACAATGAAAAATATGGTTTTGTTCGGGTACAAATTTGTAAATAATAAAGTGTTCAAATTATCTGTGAGAAGGGAAAAATGTGCTCTTGCCATTGTATTCAAAATAAAACATTTATTTAATACGTTTTAATTGTACTCAAATGGAACAAATATCAATTGATTGATTTATAATCAAACTAAACAATGTTCATAACATTTCAAATGTTACAAAATACATGTTCTCACAAGATATGCTTATTCCACTCATTATGTGTGTTGCATTCTGATGCAAGTTCTTTAGTTATATCATTAAATCCTACAGAAAGATAGATCAGCCAAATAATTATTTAGATTGGCAGACAAAATCCAATTTTCATCTTCCCTCTGATATCAGATTTCCCAGTTTTATCTGGATTTACTTACTAATGAATAAGAGAAAACAAGACAGCACACAGCATCTTTACAACACAACGCAACAAATACTGGCTAGATACTACATGCCAGCAGGCATCTGGCCCACCATCTTTCCATCCCCTCTGGAACTCATCTCCACAAATATGAAGCATGGGCTGGCACCAATATTGGCAGATCACCCACCACATCTAAACAAATAATTACAGGTTAAATGACATAAATATTACCCAGTCATTCCATAACATGGTTGGCATGGGCAGGCAAGCTGAATAGACAATTTTTTTTTCCACAAACTTTTTAAAAGGGCTGGAAGGAAAGAGGAGTGGTATCTTCAAAGAATGCACTTTTCACATCAGGGGCACTCCCCCCCCAAAGTCAGATTGCCCCCAGAAATCTCTGCTCAATAATTACACTGCTCCTTGTTCTGCACTAACACATCACAGGAGAGTACCAGGTAGAGTTGCAAACTTGACGTCTGCAATTTCCCACCTTCACATTTCCTATTTATGATTGTGTGTTATCACAATCTGCACTATCAGGAAGGAGCTGCCTGGAGAGACCCCAAGATTAACTTTTGATTCCATAAAGTTTCCTGACATGTGTTCAAACAGGGCAAGGAAATCTTCAACTCACTGTCACCAAGCCCTGTCCTTCAACTAATGAATTAATAATCCTCCGTGCTGAACACATTTTGAGAAAGGACAATTGGTAGCAAGGGCATGAAATATAGGAATGAGTATGGGACTTCAACGCCCACCACCAAGACTGACTCAGCAGCGCCACGACTGACCAAGCTCAAGTCTCAAAGAACACAGCTGCTAAACTGGGTTTTTGACAAGTAACAAGAGAAACTCTTATCTTTATCTGCTGCAGGTGCATCTGTCAAATACAGCACCAACAAAAGTGACCATCACACACTCCTTACGGAGCCAATGTCCTATCTTCACATTCAGGATGCTATCGTATCACAAGGCACTGCCATTCGTGCTATGTGGGACAGACTTTGAATAAATCCAACAACTCAAAACTGGGAACAGAAACAGAAGTTGCTGGAAAAGCTCAGCAGGTATGGCAACATCTGTGAAGAAAATCCAGAGTTAACATTTTGGGTCCAGTGACCCTTCCTCAGAACAGACCCTTCTCAGGGAGGGTCACCAGACTTGAAACGTTAACTCTGATTGTTCTTCACAGATGCTGCCAGGCCTCCTGAGCTTTTCCAGCAACTTCTGTTTTTGTTCCTGATTTACATCATCCACAGCTCTTTTAGTTTTTAACTCAAAATTGGGCTTCCATGTGGTGCCAATTCAACCACAGACTGAAACTTCATGGCTTGGTATATCCCCCAACTTTACCATTAATACCAAGCTGGAAGATCAACACTAGTTCAATGAAGAATGTGAAACAGCAGGCCAGAAGCAGCAGCAGGCATACCTAAAAATAAGGTGTCAACCTGGTGAAGTGACAACATGCATGCCAAAAAGCATTAACTGCATGCAATTGACAGGATGAACCGATCCCACAATTATCAGACAAATTTAAGCTCTGCAACCCTGCCACATCAAGTCATAAATGATGCTGAACAATTAAACAAGAATAAGAACAGGAGACTACACAAACATCCCCATACTCAGCAACAGGAAGCCCAGCTCATCAATGCAAAAGGTACGGTAAAAGTATTTGCATCCATCTCCAGGCAGAAGTATGAAATGAATGATTCATTTCAGCCTCTTCCAGAGATCTCCAACATCACAGCTGTCAGTCTTCAATAAAGTCGATTTACTCTATATGATATCAATCAATAACTGAAAGCATGGCATCCCTGAAAGCCTTTGGAATCAGGACAAAATCAAATTTGCCGATTATTGCCCTTCAGTCTACGACTGGACCTTAGCAAAGTGATAGAAGGAATCATTGATAGTGCAATCAAATACACTTGCAAAAGAATAACCTGCACACTGATGCCTAGCTTAGGTTCCACAAGAGCCACTGAGCTCCTGAACTCATTACAGCCTTGATTCAAGCATGGACAAAAGAGCTGAGCTCCAGAAGAGAGGTGACTGTCCTCAACATCAAGGTACCATTCAAACGGGTGTGGCATCGAGGAGCCTGAGCAAAACTAAAAACAGATCAGAATCAGTGGAAAACTCTCTGCTGGTTGAAGTCGTACCAAGCACAAAAGAATATGGTTGTAGATGTTGGAGGCCAGTCATCTCCATTCCAGGACATCACCATGCAAGTTCCTCAGCTTCGGCCCCTTGACCCAATCATCTCTAGTTGCTTCATCAATAACCTTTTCTCCATCATAAGTGCAGAAGCAGGATTATTCGCTGATGATTACACAATGTTCAACAACATTTGCAACTTCTCATATACAAAAGCAGTCCATGTCCAAATGTAGCAAGACCTAAGCAACATGTGCATTTGGATTGGCAGATAGCAAGTATCACTCATGCCACACCAGGACTGGGTAATGGCCATCTCCAACAAGAGAGAATATAACCATCTTCCATGACATTAAATGCCATTACCATTACTGAATCTATCACTATCAACATCCGGGGGATTACAACTGACCAAAACTAAGCTGGACCAGCAATGTAAATACTGTGACTACAAGAGAAGGTCAGAGGCTGGAAATCCTGAAATCTCCCGCTCCCTGTACACCATCTACAAGGTACAAGCCAGGATTGTGAAGAAATACTCTCCATCTGAATGGATGGGGTCAACTCCAAAAACACTCAACAAGCTCACAAATAGAACAAAGTAGCCAGCTTGATCAAAGCGCCACCAATGCAAACAAGTACTCCCTTCCACAGTGGCAGAAAATGTACAGTCTGCACAGTACACTGCAGCATTCATCCAGACTCCATCAACAGTCTACTAAACACACAAAGAACAAAGGCAACAGATGCATGGGAACACCACCATCATCTATTTCCCATCCAAACTTCACATATCATTTTGACTTGGAACTAATTTACTGTTCCTTTCACTATTATTGTAGCAAAGTTCTGGAACACCCTTCCTAGCAGCTTTTTTGGTACAGTTGCAATAAGTGGATTGCAGCAGTTCAAAATGGCTGCTGACAACCACCTTCGTAAGTACAAATAGCAATGGCGAACAAATGTTGACCTTGCTAGCAATGTTCACATCTCATCAAAGATTAAAAGAAATTCAGAAGCATAACGAGCTGTGTTATGATGATGCCAAACCACAAGGGGCTGAGATTTGCTGGAAACATGACATCATTGAATAGCAGAACAAACCCGATGTGCTGAATGGTGTCCTACTGTTCCTATATCTTATGGTCTTATGGCCTTGTCAATTAGCAAACTCCTGCCCAACCACACTTCTGTGTGTAACCAGTAGGCAATAAATGACAACAGTTCACATTAGCCTTGAGTTCAACATTTGTTGGTCTCAAGCCCCTCAAAGCTCCCATCAATAATGCTACATGGTGGCAAACAGTGATCAGGTTCAGAAAAAGGATCAGGAATCACAAACTAAAAGCCGAAAAGAAATCCAGCTGTTCCAGACAACAGATGCTGAAGAGCTTCGAGGCCAGCTCAACAATCAAACCAGAGAAGGGAAAACCGACATGACACTGCAACAACTAACACAAACTGTACTGTGGAAGACGCCATTAGTAGTAAATTCTGCCATACCTCACCCAAGAACCTTCCAGAATACAGAAGGCTGAAATGCAAAGCAGCTCAAGACATTCATCTTCAAGGATAAAGAACAGAATTCACTCTATGGCACAGCAGGGGAATCACACAGTAAAGATATGACCTTCCATAAGGTGCTTGCATGGTACCAAGCTCCACAGGTAGAAAGTAGGTTCACCCACTCCACCAAATGCTATGGCTGCAATCACAACTATTGTTTTAAGAGTGGACATCTTAAAAAAACCTGCATTTTAAAGTAGTGATCAACTGCTTCCAAAAGAAGCACTACAGAAAACAAACACTTTCCTGGAGACATGACAAAAAATGAAAATCAATATTGAAGCACTAACATTGAAGTCAACAGACATGATACATTTAACTTAGGCACAGAAGCAGCAGTCACAATTCTATCCAATGGACTTAAATGGCAGTAAAGGAATTATACTATAGTCTCCATTTAGCAAACTATAAGGTCCATCAACCGCCATGTCAAGTGTCTGCTCACGAAATGTTAAGACACAAAAGACAGGGGCACCTCAGAAACAGTGCATATTATTCTCAATCTGCCACATTTAACGCTAGGCAGGAAAACCTACAAAGATTTCAACCTCATTCTCAAAGTAGAAGTCAACAAATAGGAACCAGTTCCTAAATTCCTTTGAGGCCTGGGATGCACACATCACTGGTAAGGTCAGTATTTGTTGGGCAACCCTAACTGCCCTTGCAACAAAGTGGTTCGTGAAGGAATTCCAGAGAAAGTTAATTGTCATCTACATTTCTGTGGGTCTGCAGTCTTATCAAAGTCTGCATGGCAGACTTCCTTCCTTAAAAGACATTTGTAATTTATAGCAATTAATAATAGCCACAATCAAGATCCTATTTATAATAATTTTCAATCAACCTGTTCGGGCATGTAAATCT